TCAGAGGAAATGCAGCTGGAAACCCACATACCTACTCCCAGCCACCAGGATTGATCCCTGGGGACTGTGTCCAGTGGGGAGGTCACTTTTCTTACATGTGAAATTACTTAGGTAAAGGGTTTGCATCTCTGCATGAGGGCATTTGCTGGTTTGTTTGTTTTTTGGGGTTTTTTTTTTTTTGGCTTTTTGGGTTACACCTGGCGATGCACTCAGGAATTACCCCTGGCGGTGCTCAAGGAACCATATGGGATGCTGGGAATCAAAGCCGGGTTGGCCACATGCAAGGCAAACGCCCTACAAGCTGTGCTGTCTCTCCAACCCCAGCATGTGCTGTTTTTTAATTGAAAGGGAAAAGCAAACACAAGAGATGAAATTCACAGGCCCCTGGTCCTGAGAGATAGTTCCGCGGGTCAGGCTGCATGTCCAACCCAAGTCTGATCCCCAGTGTCTGATATGGTCCACTGACCCCACCCTTCGTGACCACTGAGCACAGAGCCAGGATGAAGCCCTGAGTACTGCTCGGTGTGGCCCAAAAGCCAAAAAGAACCAAAAAAAAAAAAAAAAGTCTTCATAGGCTAGAAATTTAAAAGATTCCTTTTCCTAATCGCCGCATTATTTGTTGTTGCTCATCTTGTAGTAATTTACATAATTAGAGATTAGGCCTAACCATCAAAATACCCGTAGAAAATGAAAAAGACCTCTGTTGTTATTAAAAAAAAAAAAGATTACATGCAAATTAGAATCTGCACGTGATTAGGGAAATAATGGGTGGACTGAATGGGGAGTTAGCTGTCTCGGATGTTTGTACACCCAGATTTGTTCATGATCACCAACAGCTGGAAGGACCCCAAGTACTTGGGCCACGGACCAACTAGTGGATAAATAAAATATGATATATGCAGAAGAGGAAGTGAAAATGGGCTTTTAAGAGCCAAGGAATTCTAACATGTTACAATGTGGACCAGCTTTAAAAACAGTTTAAAAAAAAAAAGTTAAACTAAATGAAGCAAGGCCAGGTCTTAAAACACTGTCATGAATCCGACTGGTCACTCAAAGGACAGTTGAAAGTTGGTTTTTCCTAGACACAGAATGGATAGCGCTGGTTGCCGGGGCTGTGGGCTGAGGAGCAGAGAGAGGCGGCACTGGGGGAGCTGCTGGTTCCACTCTGCAAGATGAAAGGCTGGTCATGGGGCTTGGTCACCCGTGCTGTTTGATGGTTTATTGCTCAGTGGCCAAGATGGTCCAGAGCTGGAAAGAGAGTCCAGTGGGGGGGGGGGGGGAGAGCACTCTCCTTGCGTGCAGCTGACCCAGGTTTGATCCCCAGCATCCTGTATGGTCTCCCAAGCCCTGCCAGGAGTGATCCCTGAGCACAGATCCAGGAGTTATCCCAGAGTATCACTAGGTTGGGCCCAAAGACAAATGAAAAAGGAAGATGGTCATCGTGAGGCCTGAGGGGGTTCTGACCGGTAGCTGCACCTCCCTCACCCCACCTTTATCTTTACGTCAATTGTTCCCGGGGCCAGGACTAAAGCCCGTGTTGTTGAGCACGTGATTTCCATGTGTGAGGCCCTGAGCTCCATCCCTGGCACCACATGCGTGTCCCTGGGCGTCGCCCCACAGTGCAGACAAACATGTCCCTTTGACGACTCCCAGGCTCGCTGACTCACCGCCTAGACTCACCCTGTAAGCGTGAGCACTGGCCCAAGGCCCTGAGTTAAAGGTTCCGCTTTGTGTTCCTGGGGCCAGAGTGACTTCACAGCTCACCCAGGAGCTCACCCACAGCGCTGCTGGTCCTCCTGGCAGCTGCGTCCAGGCCTGGTAACATCACTCCCCCTGTGTTAGATCTGCTTCGAGAGGACCGTGGAGAGACTGGAATGTCCACTGGCAAGTGGACGAGATGACGAGTTGGAAAAACCAGTCAGAGGAAAGGCCCTGGGACCATTCACCTGGCAGATGGCCCATGTGTTCTCCCATGGACCCCCAGAGTCATTCTGGGCCTGCAGGAATTTTTTTTTTTGCGGGGGGGGTGTACAGTGGGGGGCATATATAGGGCAGAGGCATTGCCTGCAGCAGAGGCATAAGCCATGGGTGTATAAAATCTCCAGGAAGCGGTCAGGGAGAGGCCCAGTGACTCCTCCCCTCCCCGCTCAGGTTTGGGGGGCCCGGGGCCGCTGGCCCAGCCGGGGCGGCCCGGGCCATGGGGCAGATGGAAGGAGGAAACAAGAGCCAGGCTGGTCTCAGTCGCCTTTCAGTCTAATCTCGTCCCTGTTCACTCCTGTCCCTTTCTTTCCTTCTCTCCCGGCCCCCGGCCTTGAACACCTTTTCTCCTTCTGGCTCTGACTCTGGATCCTGATCCCACACACCCACCCCCCCCACACACACACACACCCACACACACACCCACTCTTACAGTCTAGTTAAATCCCAAAACCATGAGGGGTTGAGCTTGCACATAGATGTGGTCACAATCAATAGGGTTGAAGTTCTTTCTCCCAGGGGATGCTGCTTCTAGGACAGATTCTCTTTCAGTAGGACAACCCACCCAAGGGCGGAACCATCCCATGGGTGTGTTTCTCCTCTCCTCGTCCAGCAAAGATATAAGCATTCATAATATAAATCATCATGTATGGACACAGTAAGAGATTCGGTAAGCTTATAGAATCACTGTCCTGGGACCATCTCGATCTCAGACTACAGTGCTCGGGCCAGATTAGTCTTTCCTATCCCTAGCAGGGTCCTAGTCTTGTCATCACTTTTGGATCATGGCAGCATTTGTCCATGATCAAGCTCTTAACTTATAGTTAATCATGGCGCTTTGACCTGGCCCATTTTGATGCCAGGGTAGCTCAGATCTTGCCCCGGGTCCCTTTAGTTCCTCATTGGGACCCTGCTTTTGGGGTGGTAGGAACTGTGGGCAACTGAGGCTTAAATTGAGAAAGCCGATGTCTGGGAATGAATAATATTGAAAGCCAATTAAATCCCAGGTTACAAAAGCATAATATTAATTGTCTTCTTGTGTCTATACAAAAGGACATTGCTTTAAAATAAACTATTTAAAAGACATGAGGGGAAGAGAAAGGCAGTATTACAATACAAGTTCAGTGTCTTAGAAAAATCTGACCTTACAAATTAACAGAAACTTATTAGGGGGGTAAACTGATTATCTGGTTGGGGAAGAGAGCATAGGGAAGTGATTACAGATAAACAAAAGAATGGGAGTGACTCAGGAGCACTCTGATGGGTGTGACCCAATATACCAAAACTCCTTGGGGCAAGAGAGAAAGTACAAAGCAATGTCATCCTACACATGGGGAAAAAACCCTTTTAGGGGTCCGTATCCTTCCTGTCAGGGACCCTTGAAGAAGAAGCTGGGTCACTTCCTGTCTGCAGAGCTGTGAGGGAATATTCCGTGGAAGGGAGGGGTCCTCTGGGACTTTTCTCGGGGGAACTTTGGGGCTTTAAGGAATCCAGTGTGCCGACCACTGGTCTAGCCCCGTTGGCCAGGCTTGAAACCCCCAGTGATTCCTCGTGACTCATGTGGCATGAAAGATCCCAGGCAGCAGACTAACGTGGTCTGGCCTGCAGGCAGATGGTCCCTGTGCGCTCAGGGAGCCCAGATGGATGGGGTGATAATAGGGAGACCAGCTCCGAGGCTGTTCCGGTGGCCCTGGCCAGAAACGTGTGGAGTCCCCGACTCAGATGGGAGCAGGGGTGGATGGAGAGGAACACAGCTGCCCTGACTGGCTAGGCAGCCCTCAGCCCTGCAGCCTCGGGGGTCAGCGAGGGCACGTGCCACTGGCAGAGAGATCGGGCACAGGGACAAAGAGACCTGGCTCGAAGCTGCAGCGAGACTGTGGGATGAAGACCCCCCTGAGCTGGGGCTGGCTGGAGGAAGGAAGTTGAGGGCAGGGAAAATGAGTGTGCGGGGCAGAGCGTGGGGATCTGGGAGAAGGGACAGTGAGGGGACGCGGCTGACGGTTAGTGCCAAGTACCGCACTGGGCCTGCAGGCAAGAACAGGGAGATTTAATGGTCTCATTTGGAGGCCACCCTGGAGGCACGTACTAGCTACTCCCAGCACAGTGCTCAGGAGGCTGTGCGGCTCCAGGGAGGAACCCCAGGGTCCCCCATGCCCAGCCTGTGCCCAAGACTCTGATTCCCTTCCTGGCCTGAAACACCAAGGCGTCAGCCTTCAGCCTCAGACAGATTTCTTTCTTTTTGGAAAACTGGTTTGGTGGCTTACTGGAATTTCACGGCACTGTTTTGTTCTCCTATGACCTCAGAAGTTACTGAGCGTTACTTGTGTAATCAGCATAACAGTGCCATTTAACGATATTTCTGCTTCTGGAGCCGGACAAGTGGCGGGGAAGGTGTTTCCCTGGCACGTGGCTCCCCGCCACTTGCACCCCGCCAGGTGAGACCCTGAGCACAGACAGGAGGAAGCCTCGGGCACAGCTGGGTGGGGCCCAAAAATCCAAACCAAAACCGGGTTTTCTTTTCCATGTGCTTTTTTAAATTCATTGAGGGAACATAGGTCTAGAGAACTGTCCATACTGATAGATTTGGGGTACGGTTGTGTGTACTTACACTTACCCCCAAGTGCCAGCTTCCCTTGGTCACTTTTCCCTCCCACTTCCCCCTCTCCCCCACCCCCCACACCTCAGTTCTGTCGTCAGTTTAAAGGTGTATTTCCAGGGGACATCGTCTCTTCCCTGGCTGTTAGGAGGACAGCTGGTGGGTGAGCATCCTCAGAGGTGGTACAGAGAGGACCAGATGTTCGAATACAGATCGGAGATGATAACTGGCGGTGGAGACTCTGCCCAGGTTCTGAAATCCCCTCGCAATCTCAGGTCCTCCTGCTCCTGCCCAGCGGATCGCCAGATCAGCTCCTGGTTCCTGCCGCAGTGGGCTGGGGGTCTTTGGGGGCCCGGGGGAGAGGGGCAGGGCCAGGCTGTGCTGTGCTGTGCCAGAGGTCTCACACCGCTCCTGCTATTTCCCCGAGGAAATGCCACGTCCCCACAAGCACAGCGGCCGGCCTTCATGGACTACTTCGACAAGCAGGACTTCAAGAACAAGAGCGACAGCAGCTGCCGCCAGAGTGTGCTTGACCCCTTCCCCATGTCCAAGAACGTGTTTCCCGAGAACTGGAAGGTTCCACAGGATGGAGACTTCGACTTCGTGAGTGTATTCCTCCCCGCCCCCCCTTGGAGCTTCTCTTCCCCCAGTGTGGTGCATGTGCAAAGGGCTTGGTGCTCGGCGAGTGGCCGTCTGGGGGCGGGGGGGCGGGGGGAGGTGGCTGGCAGCAGTGCGGTTTGCGTGTCCAGAGGCCCTTGCAAAGAAAGGGGTCAGCCAAGGCGGACACCGGGCGGGACAATGACTGCTGTTGCCAAAGATGTTTTTAGTGAGGGCTGGAGGGATAGCAGGGAAGGGACTTGCCTGCCACGCAGCTGACCTGGACTCTGTCACTGGCTTCCCCCGTGGTCTCCCATGGACCCCCAGGACTGATTCCTGAGTGCAGAGCCAGGAGTAACCCCTGAGCATCAGCAGCTGTGGCCTAAAAAGGCGTGGGGGGGGGGGGGGGAGATGTGTTTAGTGATGCAAATATGAGATACTTCTGACCATCAGTTTCCCAGAGTGTGACGGTATCGTTGATGACGTAGACTTTGAGAGATTTGCCTCAACTGTTTTGTGTTGGGGGGGTTGTTTGCGGTGGTGGCGGGGGGAATCCAGGGGGGACCAAAGTTGGTAATAGCCAGGGGTTACTCCTGCCTCTGCACCCAGGAATTACTCCTGAATGTACACAGGGGACTATATGGGATGCCAGGGATCAAACCCAGGTTGACCGTGTACAAGGCAAGTGCCCTACCCTCTGTACTGTCCCTCTGGCCCCCAGATTTGTCTCAACTTTGAAAGGTTGCTGATTCAGTCTCTGCTGAAGTGCTGCTTCCACCAGCTGTGTCAGAAGGAAGCCTTGATTCTGTACCCCGTGAACTTAAGTGAACTCTGCTCTGTCCCCTCTCTGTTCTGCTTCCTCTTCATTTCTTCCGTTTTTGCCCCTTGTAATTTCTTCCTTTCCATAAAATCCTTTTAAACCTATTTTTGAGTGTGCACCCTACTCAGCTGTTTTCAGGGGTTCCTCCTGGCTCTGCTCAGAATGACTCCTGCCGGTCCATATGGGCTGCGGGAGGTCGAACCCGGCTCTGCCTCTTGCCAGGCAAGAGCCTGACCCGCTGTACCGTCACGCCAGCCCACTTATTTTAAGGACTGTCTACAATCAGATCAGCATTCTCAAGCAACTAACTTCTTAACTTCAGAGAGTAATCTCTCAAAATGAGATCTTTTGTGGAGTGACTGTTTTAGCGTGTTAAGCAATGTTTACATATTTTCCACATAAAATAACTAGTCATCTATAGCTGTATATATTATACCTATTTATAAGTAAATAGAATTTTAGGCTTAATATATAGATGTATCTTTAACAATTTTTAAATAATATAAGCCACTTTGCTTAGTTACCATTTATATATATATATGTGCTTTGGGAATACAAATATTTCTACTGTTAAGTACTTCCCCTCAAATATAATTATTTGGCCTTTTTAATAATCAGTTAACAATTTTTTTCAGTATCCTGAATAGATTTAGTGCTAATTTGCTACCAAATATTAGCAATGGTAAGGATTAGTCTGGAAACATTCGCAATACGTTCTTATATATTTCGATTTTGAAGTTCGGAGTCATGAATTAGAAAAATGGCACGGCATCTTTGTTCCTTTGGTTCTAGTAGGATTTCACTTTAAGCTATCTGCTTTTTGGAAGTCGTGAATTATTTAGAATACCGACATTTAAGCTTTTAATCATTCATGAACGTGATGAATAATGGAGACTATTTTGCATTGAAGAACTCTGCCTTGTCTCAGTTGGAATAAATCTCCATTGCCCCTGGGGGTCAGGTTGAAATGAGTTACAAAGTAATGAATAAATGATCATAGTTAAGAAGCGGGGAATGAAATAATGGAGTTCTATTTCAGTTAGCCTCTGCTGCTCCTGTTCCGATGGAATGGCTTCAAGTCAGGCTCTTGGCTTTGCTTTTGCGACTTTGTACATAGCGGTTTGATGAGCGTCAGTTAAGAGGCTCTTCCCAGGACTTCACCTGGGGCTTCTTCAGGGATGCTGACCATCATGCAGCTGGGCCTGAGCCAGACTTCATCTCTAAAACAACTTCACTCGGGTCTCCAGCTCGCCCATAGACAAGCTTCACGCTGATGTGGCCTTACCAGTGTCTCCTTGCTCGGCCTCCGAAAAATTGTGCCTAGAATCCACCCAGTGCCCGTGGACAGTGGCATTAAAAAATAGCCAACAGCGGGGAGTTATCTTAACCCGGGAGAGAAAAGGCGGCTTTGACGCTGAAAACCACAGAACACCTTGGTCAGGGTGGGGTGACTTCGTAGCGTTCAGGTTTCAGCGCTGGCCTCCTCACTTGACACGGTCATTGTTGAGTGCTGTCTCTGTCCGAGTCCCACTGGCCTTCCTTGGGGACATCACTGGTTTATCTGGACCTTCCAGAGGCTATGACGGTTCAGGTGCCTCTGGACTTCCACGGTGCACGTGATGAAAACCATCCTGAAAGGGGGCGTCAACGTGGGCCATCTCAGACTTTTACAAGGCCGCCGTCCACAGGCCTGGCAGATGTGTAGGCCAAAGGAGTGGATAGAGAGTTCAGAAATAAAGTGTCACACATACAGTCCAATGGCCTTTGATGCAGCTGCCCAGAGCAGGCAGTGGGGAACTAGCAGGCATCTGGTTAGCAAACGATGCTGAGAAAACTGGAGAGCCACACGCAAAAGGATGGAATTGGGCTGTGCAGTTTCACCATATATAAAATTATCTGAAAGTGAATGTCTTAAAATCTAAACACAAGAACTACAGATGGTCAGTTTCCTGACCATGACACCAGTAGCACTGGCAACCAAGGAAAAACATACACCCGTGGGACGGTTTCAGAATTAAAAGTTTTCTGCATCGAAGGACATTTTAAGAGGCAGCCCACAGAAGGGGTGAAAACATTGGCAAACTGTGTGTCCAAAATGGAGTGAGAGCATTAAGGCTACTTGGAGAAACCCTGTAACTCAGTAATGGCAGAACACCAGCACCATTGAAAAATGGGCAATGCACGAGCAGAGGAAAAATGATCCGCACCCCTGATGACCAGGGAAATGCAAACCAAAACGATGGTGGGTCTCCAAAATAGACCAGAAACGGCCACCAGTGGTGGGACTGTTGTCCAGTTCAGTCTCTGTGAGAACAGGACAGAGACTCCTCCAGGAAGGGAGAGGAGAGCTTCCCTATGACCCAGCAGTCACCCTTCATAGCATCTCTCCCAAGGAGAAAGATGTGACTCCAGACAGACACATGCACACATGTGCTCTGTGCCCGCGCTACTGACAGTGGCCACAATCTGAGAACTGGCATCCAGGGACAGGCAAGGGGGTCAGAAAGTTGTAGTCCAGACCCTCACTGGAAAACCCCTCGACTGCCAGACCGAAGGGGACCTGACACTTGGCTACAGCCCAGATAGAACTGGCATGGGCTAGGGGTCCTGGTAAACCAATGAGGGTCCGTCCCCAAATGCTCTCACTCCATGCATGTCCTGAAAGAACCAGAGCAGAGGAATGATGGGGTCTGGTGAGAACAGCCACTGGACTTGGCCTTCAGGACTGAGGTCACGAAGTGGTGGAGGAAGTGGGGGAGGGTGAGAAGGGACTACAGGACCGTGGTAAAGGGCTTTTTCCACCCTGATGGTGGAGAGGGGGAGCAGTTTCCCACACCCAAAGCGTAAGTGTCAACGCTGTTGAGTTGACGTTGCCACATCTACAATTGAAAAAACAATCGCAGTGAAAATAAGCTTGGAAAACGAGTCAAATGGGTGAATGATTCCAGTAGGTATTTCTCCAAGAGATGACATACAGAGAGCTGCTCTCTGAATGGAAAGGTGCTCGGTGTCCCAGTCTAGACGGAGAGGCAAATTTCTGTTGCAGTGAGATTTCACGGCATGCCCACGACAGAGCCGTGTATGAACGGTGGCGGGGGGGCAGGAGGAAGTCGGAGCCCGAGAGCTGCACGCGAGCACACAGCACAGTGCTCAGGGGACCAGATGTGGTGAAAATGATGGGTTTCAGCTTACGTGTCTTACCATTTTGCCAGAATAAAACGCAGGGAGCTATGGAAAGTGTGTGGCGTTCCTCAGAGAAACAAAACCTGGAACTCCCATGGGACCCGCTTCTTGGTGTGTCCCCCGAAGAAGCAAGTGCAGGAGCTCAAGCAAGTGCATGACCAGCGTGACCCACAGTCGCCAACCATGGACACAGCCCAAGCACTCACCGTGGATCAGCAGACACACCGAAGGTGGCGAGTGTGACCCACAGAACACCATGATCTCAGAAGGAGGGAGGCTCGGACGGGCACGTGCCGTGGCATGGGTGATGCTGGAGCACAGGATGCAAAGTGAACTTGTCACAGAAGAACACACAAGAGAAGCGTGACCCCACTCATACGAGGCACTCGGTCATCCACAGAGACGGGGAGGAGAGCATGGCTTCCTCCAGTGGGGCCAGGGGAGAGGGAGCGACACGGACCAGTTGTTTGATGGGCAAAGAATTTCAGTTCTGCATGATGAAGGATGTTATGGGGGGCCCGAGGGATGGGACCAGGGTTAAGGAGCTCTCTATGGGGATCCGAGGGGTAGTGCCGGGGGCAAGGGGTGTGCCTTCATGTGACCAATCCCATATTGATTCTTAGCACAACGTGTGGTTCCTGAGCACTGCCGATAGTGTCCCAAAACAAAACAAAATGTTCTGGGTAGGGGCAGTGTAATGAAGTGAATCTACTCTCACGCCAGTAAGCCGTATGCTTTAAGAGGTAAGGTCATCTCAATTTTTTAATAATAACTTTATAATTGTATTATTTTATAATAATAGTTTTATTAGATTGTTTGACTTTTTTTTTTTGATTGTTTGACTTTTGAGGCCTCACCGGGCAGTGTTTGGGGCTGACTCCTGGCTCTGTGCTCAGGGCTTATTCCTAGCCCTGTGATGGGGTCACTCCCAGCGGTGCCCAGGGGACCACACATGGTAAAAGTGAGAAGCTTCATCTTGACGTCTGTGTTGCCGTAGTAAAAA